CCAAAATACACTTGAAAGATCATAACTCCCGATTGCAATATAAACAAATCGCGTAATTTGCCAGTATCAGAAAACGATATTAAACGTTTTATTTATATTGATTTCAATTTATGTTAGTATTCTTAACTTGAAATCATTAATAACTTTCAATATTGCTGTATTAGCATTCTGTCAATATGTTTAGAATGCAACGATACCAAAAGCTCTCATCAGTAAGAGTAACGAAACAATTCGCTTAACTCATTTTATAAATTATCGGAGTTCTTGTCATTCCAAAAGCAATCTGCTTTAGATGAGTGCACTAGTTCATTGATCTTTAGAAAAAACATGGAACTTATTGTTAAAAGCAATACTAAAAAAATTTGAATAGTTTAAAATTCCCAATAATGATATAGGTTATTTATAAACTTTGTCTCTAACAGAACCTTATCGCTCTTTTTCTCAGATTAAACGTGATCGGTAGTCGAGTTTTACACGTTTTAAATGTGGTTATGACTTTCTGGATAGCTGATGAAATACGGTAATTGTTCGTATACGTTCTTGGAATATTATTCTCGAAATCAATCATACAGCTGTCAATAATTATTCTTCAATATTTTTTCAATAAGTAACCATAATAAGAACCTATCGTTACTATTTGGTATATAAAGTGAGGTAGTGGTATATTGTGATTCACCATAATCATAAAAACCTACCACTACAATCACTACAATAATGATCATATTCTACAAAGGGCATAACAATATCATTACAGTGACCAACGTGTTTTTTCACCTTTTTGCATGATTCAGTAGCTCTATTAAAAAGAAATCGAACGACACATAAAGTGACGTAGTGACATATGTTCATTGTGCGTAATTAAACATACTCTTAATGCAGACCTTGTCACAAAATAATCATATTCAGCAAACTATATACCAATATGGTCGTACTAGGCCATAGCTATCAATAATTTTTTCTTGAATCCTTTAGCACGATTTAATAATGCAGTCTGTAATAGGCAACCAATCTTGATGAATGCCAATTGACTATAATATGGCTTATAAAAGTATATGACCAGAAAATATAAAGAGGAGTGCAACATGTCTAAGCACATCCTGTCGGTCTGATTTTAATAGTAAGAAAAATCTAAAATCTAATGTGACTATTTAACAGAGAAAACTTGGGGATTTCTAGAGGACACTAATTTCATTTCTTAACGATCCTTTCTTTGTTACACTTTCGATAAAATAAATTTCAACGATTTGGTTAAACTGCTTGCAATATAAAAATCATTTTTGGATGACTTTAACTAACTTAACTGAGTTTTGTAATTGTTCAAAAATTAGTTGATCAAATTGCTTTCCGTATTCGATAAACAATTTTTTCTTGACTTTTTCTATTCATTGCCATTTAACTACATGTAGATTTACATCTGAATAAATTCAAGGAAATGATCTCATAACCATACTTTTTCTTTTTTATAAAATGCTGACAAAGCACAGAAAAAAAAGTTGCTGTATTTATTTCTTGAAAAAACTTTCTCTATTTCATCATTATGTTTTAAGTAGTGCAGATGAAGAAGAACAAATGTCAGTAGCACCATTGAATGTCGACAAAAATGAGCAGACAGTTGGTCAATTATATGTCATCAGCGAATACAATGACGGCAGGTCAAATAACTGTGTCGATAAAAAATATTCGATTGAAAACACAGAGAAACAAATAACTTAAAACGAATTTATTGGTTGCTTGATATTGAGCAGAAAGAGAAAAGAAATAAAATAAAATAACTAATGTTCATTGGCAATTACATGAACAATAACCGTCAGGCGTTGCTTCCATAACATGTGTTGACGAAAACACAATTATACACTCACATATATATATGTATATAGATGCTCTGATTCGAGACATTTACTCAAATCTAACATCTTACACATACTAGCGCCAATAAGATAAAATGGCAGAGGAAACTACAACATCATCAGATTCTGTAATTATCTTTTTTTTTAAATACTATGATTTTGATATAATTATTTATCTATATAATGTTTTAAATCGGGATAAAGGACACTGCACAATAAGATGAGAAATTTGTTACCTTTGGTAGTTTCTCAAATATATACAGCATGTCAGATCATGTTATTCTGCATATTCTGATGTGATGAATTTGATTTTTATCAATCAGAAAAAGTCGATAACAATTTATTAGTTCGTGTCATAGGGATGTGCGTATATTTAAAGTTTAGAACGAGGAAACTTCTTCTCTCCATCAATATTTTTGATATTGAGTAGTGAGGTTAGATGCACTTATCTTCGTTCTACAAAAGACTACAGACACTTGATAATTTCTTTCTTCATTGAGAATTATTTTACCTTTTTTGGATCAGTATCTTTACATGTCTATTCATCTCATATAGGAGCATGAAATAAACTCATTTGAAAATGTTGTCATCTTTTTTAGAATAAACAAGTTGAAAAAGGTACGAAATACCTCACTAAACTTCTCGATTTCAATCAAAAATCAAGTCAAGCTATATCATTATATATAAATGATTCAATCAGTAATGAACAGTTGATGATCAATTTGCACGCATACACCAATGAATATTTAGAGCAAATTGGACAAATATAATTTTTTTTTGTTTTTTCGTTATAAAAAAATCTTTTCATTAATTGATCACTTTATTTTTGAAAGAGCATTTATCAATGTTATGAGGGTGTGGGTGTGGGTGTAGTTCTTCACTCAACAGCTACACTCACATCCTGCAACCAAATCCACACTTACACCCACACTCACACCCAACACCCTAGTTTGAATAATTTTATATGAGATAAACTATAAGAACAAAAAACAAACAAACAAACAGACTCTATAAATATATTATGGTCAAAACTTGGAATCCGATCAAATTCTAAAGTTGTTCGGATAAAATTGGAATTTCAATTTTGACCGGGCAAAATTAGAATATTATTTTGATGAACCATAAAACTGAAAAAAAGCAATACGAAAAACAGAAGTGAGGTCAAGGATGATGGTGAGAGTGACAGAAAAGGTTCTGTGTCAGGATTTGCGGAGTGGTCTTGGTAAGGACAAGGTAGGGTGTGGGTCTTCTTATCTCATACCCACACACACACTGAAAAAGAATAAAGTACACTACTGAACTTTCGAGGTTCCGTGGAACTTCATGAAATCTTGTTTGGTATCGTGCGACTTTACAGAACCTTCAAGAGTTTTCGGAGCGAACTGAGTTTCGTGAAAACCAAATGGAGCTTTTTTTCTTGCTACGGGTTTCGTATATGGTATTCACTCAACGTAAAGTGGCCAAGTGGTTTCGAGAAAACTTTAAAGGGTTGTTATCATCAGTAAGATTTTGTGAAACATCAATAATAACTGTATAATGGTCAAGACGTTTCGCACAAAACACAACTTCATTCTTCTATCAACAACAATCGGAGCACATGTTCAGCAATCGGACCTTCGACGCACCACACTTCAATTCCTTCGTTCGCTCGTTTACATTAGGGTGTGTGTTGATCCTCGCTTTACCCACACCCGTATCCACATCTACACCCCTCAGTGGCACATAGATGAAACAAATGCCAAATGTCAAGATTGTCTGAAAGGGGAACCTAAACAATTCTATTCTAATATTAATAATTTTTATCAATATCAAACAATGATTGTTACATGAATTAAAGATGGATCTGAAACAACTATTGGTCCCAATATGAATGGTGGTGGATATGATAAAGTTCCATACTATGATTATCGTCTTCTTTTTCGATAGATTTTTTGTTTTCATTGATTATCGAATAACAACAAATAATTCTTTTTAAAACAAACATAAGATAGATAAGACCAAATCATTAAATATACGCTATTATAGAAACGATCTAAGTGGTCATGTGACTTGAGAGACGCCCATACCTATACCCTATATTGCAGTGAACCCACCGAAATGATATTTGATTCTTTTATGAAAGACTTTTTTTTTACTTAAATAGTTTAATGTAGGTGTTGTGAATAAAAAATATCTTCCAGCTGAACGCAATACGAGAACTTCAAGTATGTCGTACAAATATTTCAATTGATAAAATAGTTGAAAAATATCGAACAACAGGTCAAGACAGCTTGTCGTACCCTCAGTCAATTTAACAAATTGCAGAAAATACTCTTTGTTAAAGCCTTGTATTATGATACACCTTTAGGTATATACATATTCGGAGTCTATTCAAATTATAGTCTTCATCAAGCTTTATATAATTAATGTACGGACACACAAACGATATGGTCTTGTTTTCAATTTTAGTGAGAAGGCTGTGGGTGTGCATGTTCTTTTTCTCTTCATACACACTCACACCCACAATGAATAAGTCACTACCTAGCATGGACGTTACTAATAAAACATCAAGTCACAACCTAAACAAACATTCATTATAGGATGTTGTTTCTAGCACTAATTATGACTCATTTAAAAAGTTAGTCACGACGATAACCCTCTAAATCAGAAAGATTATTCCAGCACTTCCATGATAAGTCTTTTACTTTTTATTTCAATCAATTAAATGCGCTGATTGGGACTGATGAAATCCTCTATAAGGCATGTATGAGAAGCTCACCAAATCTTGTTTAAATTTTCATCTATGGTAGTACAATTGTAAGTCATTTTTTTATTATTTCAAATCGAAATGAAGGATATGAAAATAATTTTTCGCTTTTCATTATTTCGATACTTTGTTCTATGAAATATTCATCATACGGATGATTTTTGTTACTTTATTAGAGAGGGAATTTTTTCAACTCTTAGATGTTGTTCACAGTCTTTATTAATGAATTAAAACTGTTTCTGGAACAAAGTTAGCGATATTGATAACTAATATTATTCAACATAAAATAGAATTAATGAATGCATATCCTTCATTCGAATAGAACATGTTGCAAAATTTTTATATACGTTAATGAGAATAGAAAAGCTTGTGCAAAACACATCTTTAACATAGTGCAATAGTTCTTTTTATTCGTAGGATAGTTCTTTTTCTGCTTCTTTTCCGTAGATATATTGTAAAGCTGTTTTGACTTGCTCTTTATGTTGTTCCCAATGTGAACGACATAAATAAGAACCTCCTGATGGACATCGAGTAAGAGAAACCGAGCCAACAAGCATTTCCAATTCATTGCGATCGTTCTTTTGAGATAAAATTTGTACCAATGTCACTGATACTGCACCATTCTCATGACCAACAAATGTGATATCTTCCGATATAAGATCTTGATGACTTTTCTTATATAAATTTTTCATTCATGCTCTGAGATCTTCTAGAAAATTGTTAAATGTCATATCAACGTAATACTCAAAATCACTTTGATCTAAGTTGATCGGGAAAGTTGAACGTACAACTAAACTTTGAAAATGGTCTGAAACAACTGTGCGATCACATTGGTGTGTTAGCCAACAAAAATCAGATTGTTTCTGTAGAAACTCTTTTACGTATGAAACGATTCAATTTTTCTTGGATTGGTTATTGGCAAATTCTAATGAGTGATCTTCTCTCATATTTATTGTACCAGAAGCTTTATCTTCATTGTCATTGTCATATTTTTGCTGATTCGTTTCCGGACATGAATATGTCCGACGGACTTTTTACTTGATTAGTGCTGTTTTTCTTGTGCGAATTTTTTGTCCGATCTAGTCCATGTTTGTTGTTTTTGAACATCTCGGAGAAAGATATCTATAACGAAAATGGTTAGAATATGCTTCTGTATTTGAACTGAATCATTCTCAGTACTATGAATTGCTAATAACATATTATTTGAGAACTTTTAACTTATTTTTAAAACTCATTGAGAGAACTCTCTTTTCGAGACATTAGAAAATATGACAGGATGCGAAATTTCTTTTTATATTTAATCCATAGATCAGTTTTTGTAATTTTATTTTAAATTATTGTCTCATTATAATATCTCTTCATCGTAAAAGGTCAAAAGTCGGATTCTTTTAAACAATAAAAAAAGCAAAAACTTAATCTATCTGTAATAATTTTATATCACAAATTTAATAAACAAAACAAATATGACGAGAGAAACGATCGATCGAAAGA